AAAAAAATATCCTGCAAGTCCTACAACAAAGCTATCATCATCATCTTCCCCCACACCTTAAGAGGTGCTTTGTTTTTTGTTCCCTGTTCCCCAAAGATCATCGGTTTGATGGAGAGCACTTGGTCCGGCTTTGGATGGCAGAAGGCTACGTTGCTCAAGACAACAATATGACGATGGAGGATACAGGAATCCGCTACTTCCGTGAGTTAGTGAATAGGTCTTTCTTTCAAGAAGCTCTTCTGGGATCGAAATATGTGATGCATGACCTCATACACGATCTTGCTCAGTTTATTTCGGAGGGAGAGTTTTACAAGATCGAAGATGATGAGTCGAAAGAGATCCCTAATACGACTCGTCATCTGTCAGCAACATTAATCGGTAAAACCAAGTTACCGGAGTTCTCATGTTATGAGAAATTACGGACCCTCATGATCAATTATCAAAGTTTTTGCTATGGCATTCGAGTCGATGGCTCTTTGTTCCTCCAGTTTGAAAGATTAAAAAACATTCGAGTGTTGATTTTGAAAAGTTGTGGCTTGCGGGAGTTGCCGGAGACAATTGGTGACTTGATACACCTCCGCTATCTTGACATATCCTACAACCGTCAGATTTGGAGACTGTCGGAGTCACTATGTGGTCTTTACAATTTACGAGTACTCGATCTGTCTGAATGTGAACTACAGAGTTTACCGTACTGCATGAGCAAGTTGATCAACTTGATGCATCTTAATGCAGAAGATAAAATAATTTCCGAGATAAACGATGTAGGGAAGCTGACTTCTCTTCAAGGACTGTGTTCATTTAAAGTACTCAAGGATCAGGGACACAAGGTTGCCCAATTAGGCGGTCTGAAACAGCTTCATGGACAACTTCGAATTACCAATATTGAGAACGTTGAGAGTAAACAAGAAGCAAGCAAGGCTAATCTGAACAACAAACAGTACCTTGATGCACTGGCCTTACAATGGACATCGGATGATGGCTCCAGTTTGGACGGCAATGAATTAGTTATGTCGGAGGAGGTACTCGAAGGTCTCCAACCACATCAGGCTCTCAAACGTTTGACGATCAGAGGGTACAATGGTGTCAGATCACCCAGTTGGCTGCAGGCACAATTGTTATCGAACCTGATAACTCTTGAACTAGAAAACTGCACAGCATGGGAGGATCTTTCATGTATTGGACAGCTACCGAATCTCAAGAACCTTTACGTGAAGGGAATGCCTGCAGTGAAACAAATAAGTCATGGATTAAGTACAGAGAGCAAGTTCTTGCCTAATCTGGAAGAGCTAGTGCTGGAGAACATGGTGGCATTGGAGGAACTCCCGAGTCTTTTACAACTTTCAAATCTCAAGGTTCTTCACATCGAGCGAATGCCAGCAGTGAAAGAGATTGGACATGAATTCTTTAATCATATAGACAAGAATTGGTTACCTAAGCTAGAAAAGATACATCTTGAGGACATTCCAGCTTGTGAGAGACTCCCTTGTATTGGACAACTGCCGTGTCTTAAGATTCTTCGCATCGAGAGAATGTCAGCAGTGACGAAGGTAGGCCACGAGTTCTTTGGTTGTAGAGATCAAGGCAAGTGTTTTCCAAGCTTGGAAGAACTCAAATTCAGCGACATGCCAGCATGGCAAGAGTGGTCATGGGCTGATGGCGGAGAGCTGTTTCCCTGCTTGCGTAGGCTTGAAATTGTAAGATGCCCAAAGCTTCAGAGGTTGCCTCCCCTCCCTCCACTTGAAACATTAAGATTAGATGAAGTCGGATTGACAGGAGCAACGTTGTTCTGTTTTCGGTAGGTTTTCCTTTCGTACTCTCTGAGACCACTCTGAAATAGCTAGATTTTTTATCCAAGAACATAAAACTCAATACAACACTTAGTAAGGGTTTTATTGTAAAAGGCACAATTTATTTCACTGTACTTATGTTTTTTATGATTAGTTAATGACAATTCTTCATACTATAATGATTTATGATCTGATATATGGTTTCAGTTGTATTATGCTTTTATTATGAAAATATATTTAAATATATGTTGCTTTTAAAAGAAAAGAATGATAAGCATTTTATTTAGCATTTAAAAAAATATATAAAGTGTAACTTTTGTAAATTATATCCGTATAAAAAAATTGATATTTATGTATATTTTAGAATGCATG